CTACCTTTTTAAAATAGTACTTATAATTTCCAAACATCCTAGATATCTATTTATTTTTATCTCATCATTTATCTTATCTCATCACTTATTGTATGCCTCCCTCTGCTATAATATAAACTTTACAAGAATATAGACCATTCTCTACTCTGTTCAATATGTAACCCAAGTACCTGGAGTAGTTTCTGGAACATAGTAGGCAATCAGTAAGTAATTATAGAGTGAAAGGATATATGAAATCTGACAACTTCTTACCACATTCAATTGCTATCATTTTTCTTAAATGTTTTCTCTATTCCCTGCCTCTCCAAGAGCCACAATAATTCCTTTAAAACAGGGCAGATAGGGCCGGCCCCGTGGCGCACTCGGGAGGGTGCAGCACTGAGAGCGCAGTGTCGCTCCCACCTATATAGGAATTGCTGGTGCGCTCACTGGCTGAGCGCAGTGCGGACGACACCACACCAAGGGTTGCGATCCCCTTACCGGTCACGAAACAGACAAAAGACAAAAAAAAACAGGGCAGATAATGTCACTTTTCTGCTTCAAACCCTCCAGAGCTTCCCCTACCACTCAGAGTAAGAGGCATGATCTGGCCCTAGGCTATGTCTCTGATCTCTGTTCTTATCGTTTTCCTCCTGTTCACTGCCCTGTATCAGCTTCTAGGCTGTTCCCTAAACTAACTAAGCATGCTCCTGCCTCAGGACCTTTGCGCATATTGAAATTTTGGCCTTGAACACTTTTTCCTCTAAGTACTTACATGGCTTGCTCCTTCCTTTCCTACAGGACTCTGTGCTAGCAATATCACATCAAAAAAGGTGAATTTCATATCACTCACTTTTTCCTTGTTATTGTTTCTTCTCTTTTAAATAAAATTTAATACTTAAAATATACTGTAGTTTCTCCTCACTAGATTTTAAATGTCATAAGAGCTGAACTTTTTTTCACCATTGATTTCTCAGGTGCCTACAGAACATAGTGGGCATTCAATTATTTCTTGAATGAATAAATGAATGAATGGGGCCACTATTAGTAGCTTAGACTTTGAAATAATAGGATTTCCTTTAGAAAATAAATACTAAACATAGTAATATTGTGTTGATTAGATGAAATTAAAAGATGAAGAATTTAGTATATTGTCTATATTTAATAAATGGTAGCAATAAAAAATAAATATTATTAAGCAAAGTCTAGTTTCAGGAACATAGTTGAGAAATAGTGTGAAAGTTATTATGTAAATACTCAACTTTGAGTTTTTAGTTGTTTTTTTTTCACATTATTTTAGTAATTCTGCAGTGGGTAGGTCTGGTTGCTGATTGGTAAAATCTGGGGATGGAGTAAAACCCGAGCTTTAAAAGCACAGGTGATTCCTGAGTAAAGAAAGTCAGTCCCTGAAATAGGTTCCTGCCTAAGCTTTATCTATTTTTGCATGTGTGTGCAGGTTTATACATGTGAGTATACAGTTGATCCTCATTATTCATGGATTCTATATTTGTGAATTTACCTACTTGCTAAAATTTTTTAACCCCCCCCATATCTAAAAGTCAATACTTGCCTCACTTCTGTTATTATTTTCAGACATGAAAGTGCACATGGCTGCAAAAAATTTGAGTTTCCTGATAGGTGTGTTCCCAGATGAAGTAAAGGCAATGCTCTACCTCCTTGTTTCACTCCATTAAGTGTCCCTTTTGCTATCTGCTGCCACATATTTTGCATTTTTATGCTTTTTGTTGGTGGTTTCACTGTTTAAAATGGCTCCTAAGTGTAGTGTTAAGGTGCTGTCTGGTGTTCCTAAATTCAAGACGACTGTTATGTGCTTTTTCCAAGAAAACCACATGGGTTGATAAGGTTTATTCAGGCACAAGTTATGGTGCCTCAGTCCTGAGTTCAATGTTATTGAATCAACAATGTACATTAAATGGGTGTCTTTAAACAGAAACACACACACATAAAACAAGGTTATGTATTGATTGGTTAATGAAAATGTCATGACCACAGACTGGCAGGAGCCTAACCCGGTATTTCCTCTAGGAGCATTGATTCGGTATTTTGCTAATTCAGTGTTTGCAGCAACTTTGTAAAACTTATTGCTACAAATAACAAGAATCTGCTGTATATGTATTATGAACACATGGCTTGTGCTAGCTCCCCTCTAGGTAGATTCAATGAGCAAATGAGTGGAGAAATCCAAATGTAAGGCATGTTAATAACAAGTAGATGCCACATTCCCCAGTTAGGTAAAGTAAATAGGAGATGGCTCAATCTCACTCTAATAAATAAACAAAAGCTTCCTGAGTTATTTCCCTTGGAAACTCTACATCAGAGGTTAAGAATGCCAAACCATCATTAGTTGTTCCCCATACACAAAAGTGTATGCTTCCAGAAGTCTACTCTACTAAGGAGTAAATTTAGCATAAAAGCTAAGAGCATAGACTCTGGAGTCCAGTAAGCATGGGCTCAGACACCATCATCATCACTTCCTCCCAGTGACTTTAGCTAACAACTTAGCCTCTCTGATCCTCAGTTTCCTGATCTATAAAATGAGGACAGTAATAGGATGTACTTCATGGTGGTGTTATGAAGCCTGAGTGAGGTTCATAGGAATAATTATTAACATGGAGCTTAATATATAATAAGTGTTCTACATTTGTTGGCCATTATTATTATTATTGGAACAATAATTATTGAAAACTGGTATTTCATTTACTCCAAGAATGACAAAATTGACAGTTTGAAAGAAGACAAATAAGATTTAAGAAAATATCTGCATTCTCCCTTGTATAGATTTCCTTTCTTCTTCTCCACTCTCCTGCCTCCAACATTTCTTTCAGAAGCCCAAGGAACTCTTGCTCTGACACACCACATGTAAATCCTGGCCCAGGACTTGGTTTGGATGTTCCTTCCTGAACAAAGAACAAGGCAGGACTAGAGGCTAGAAATGGGGTGGAGAGAGGAGGGAGCAGCTTCCCCTTCCTCTGGTCCTGTTGGTCCAGAGGTCGCTCTCAACTTCTCCTCTCCATTCCCTTTTGCTATATGTAGAAGGATCCCCTGAATAATTTTATTTTTTAAATTTATTATTTATTTTATTTTTTTGCAGCTGGCCAGTGAGGGGAACTGAATCCTTGACCCTGATATTACACGGCTGTGCACTAATCAAGTGAGCTAACCAGCCAGTTCACCTGGACTGATTTTAAATTGACTACCTGACAACTTCTTCAGGGAGTATATACCCCTGTTAATAAGTCAAGACCATATGTTCTGATCTTCATCATAAGTCTGGTATGTCAGAGCTGGAGGGCTCTTAAAGATTATTTAGACAGGGTAAGATGGTTAATTTTAGGTGTCACCTTGACTGGGCCACAAGGTACTCAGACATTTGATCAAACCTTATTCGGGGGATGTCTGTGAAGATATTCTTGGATGAGATTAACATTTGAATCAGTAAACTGACTAATGTAGATTTCCCTCTCCCATGTGATTGGTCCTCATGCAATCCACTGAAGGTCTGAATAGAACAAAAAGTTGAATAAGAGGAAACTCCTGTTGTTACTGCCTTCAAGCTGGGATATTGTTTTCTTCCTGCCTTTGGACTTGAAATATTGGCTCTCCTGGGTCTCCAGCTTGCTGACTGCAGATCTTGAGACTTGTCAACCTCCAAAATCATGTGAGCCAATTCTCTCTCTCTCTCACTTTCTCACACACACACACACACACACACACACACACACACACACACACACACACACTATTGATTCTGTTTCTCTGGAGAACCAAGACACAGGGTTTGGTGAATGCCTGGCATATGGCCACATGCCATCCTACACCCCTGGCAAACACTCTTCTCCACTGAGGACCAATGGATCTTCTCATCACAGTCCTTTGGGAAATGGGACAGTGACAGAGCTGGTCTCAGGGCTTAGTTCTCTCCCCTGGCAAACACTCTTCTCCACTGAGGACCAATGGATCTTCTCATCACAGTCCTTTGGGAAGTGGGACAGTGACAGAGCTGGTCTCAGGGCTTAGTTCTCTCAACTTCTGGCCCAGGGTTCTCTTCATTCCCAGCAGCCTCCACCTCCACCACATGGCATATTTCTTCTGAGTCAAGGTAGGCCATGTAGACTCTCAGCATGAAATGGGATGAAGATTTCTTGGGACACAGGACATACTTTGAGTCCTGGAATGTAACTGCTAAGCTTTGAATACCTGTTCTGCTATTTATGAGCTGTGTGACACTGGGTATATTACTTACTGTGTGACACTTGTAAGCCTGGGCTTTCTCATCTGTGGAACAGGGAAATAATTACACTTTCTCCAAAGGATGTTGTCAGGATTATATGTAAAGTATTTAGCATACTGTCTGGCATAAAGTAATGTTGAAGAAAAAATTACTCATGACATTTGTTAAAGCAGTAAGGCAGACTTTATTTAGGACTATTGTGATAAGTTATAGGGACTACTGTGACAGGGTTTTGCAACAGGGGAGAGAGACTGAGATCAACTCTGAATACAACTAGGAAAAACAGGAATGTATAGCCAAAGAGCATAGTGGGTAGGGGTCAGTAAATGGAAAATTACTGAGAGAAAACATCAGGGGTAACAGAAGATTCTGGCTAAACCAACTTAGCAGGATTCTTGGTGCAGACAGACCAGGGTGATTAGACATCACCTGGGGGATGGAGGAAAGTGAGCAATCCAATCAAATACCCAGGTAGGGGATTCTGGCTGAACCAACTTAGCCAGATTCTTGCTAAAATTGGGTGATGTGAAGATGGACATGAAAGTCCAAAAATCAAGGCCTGGTTGGGAAGAGGATTCAGAGGAGCCTGACTGAAGTTTGATCAAGGAGAGACTGTCAGTAAGCATTCAAAAATGTAAGCTTCAGCTTTTTAAAAAATTGTCAACTCAGATCACTTTCTTAGAGTATCCACCCAGCCTAATATTGTTTATTCAGAATCCCAAGCAAAGTTCATCAGACAGTAAACCAAGGGGGCTGTGTGAATACTCACCAAATCAATTATACCAATGTTATTCCAGCCTTGCATTATGGGGAGAAAAGAGATAAACATGGGGATGACCCAGCAGCCTCCCAGCATTAATGCGATGCGCAGAGGGGTCATCTTGTTTCTATAGACCAAAGGCTGGCAGCAGATGGCATAATACCTGCAGAGAGAAGAGAGGGGTAGGCCAGGGCAAGGAGGAATTGGGGGAAAGGGTAGAAAGAGAGGGATGGAGAAGGGAGACAGAGAAGAGAAAATATTGAGGAGAGGAGAAGATTTGGAAGGGGAAGTAGAGAATTAAAAGTAAGGAAGGAAGAGAGAAAAATGGGGAATAAGAAGTGAACAGGAAGTAGAGGAAGGAAGGGAAAGAGAAAGAAGAGAGAAGGGAGAAAAGAACAGAAGAAGGAGAAAAATGATTTTAAAATGTTATATTAACATATATATATATTTAGATGACATCTGGAAATCATTGCCTGCAGTTGGCCAACATCCCTCTTCATCTCCTAATATCTGGAGGAGCTCCATACACACCTGAGGTTCTTCTCTATCTCAGGCACAGTTTCAACATTACCCTGATGCCTGGGCACTTAGGCATTTCTGTCCAGCCCTCCCGGCCTCAGTGTCTAGGTACCTGTAGTGCATTTGACTACAACTTGAGGTGATCCGGCATGGCCCTCCATGCAAGCTCCAACCACTGTATCTCACATGTGTCCCCTTCCTCTGGATCTCCTGCCTATACTGAAGAGGTACTTGATAGAGTTTGGATATGTTGTCCACCCAAAAACTCATGTGGAAATCTGATCCCCACTGTGGCAGTATTGAGAGCTGTTTGAGTCATGGGGGTGGATCTCTCATGAATGGATTAATGCTCTTGCTGGCAGCGAGGATAGTGAGTGAGTTCTTGCTGTATTAGATCCTGCGAGAGCTGGTTGTTTAAAGGACCCTGGTACCTCCTAATTGTGAGCCAAATAAACTTCTGTTCTTTATAAATTACCCAGTCTCTGGTATTCCATCATAGCAACAGAATCAGTCTAATACAGTACTCTTTGTTGGTGTTCCTTAATCTGTGATCCAAGATTTCCCTCCATCCCTCCACTCCCACTCCACATCAGACTCACCTGAAGAAAGCTTTTTAAAATGCAGATCCCAAGAATCTCCTAAAATAAGAGCCCTTGGAAAGTGACCTTGAGTCTGCACTTGACAAAGGGGAGTCATTACTGCTGTACACTAAGCATGCCGGCTCCCCCTTCCACTACATGCACTTCCTGGCCTCCTTATGTTTGGGTGGGGCCACATAACTGGTCCTGGCCAGTGAGTCAGGAACAGAATTGATGTGTATCACTTCTGGGACAGACCATTTAATCATTTCTTTGATCCCAGGACCCTAAAATTACTAATATTTCCTGCTCCATTATTTCCTACCTATTGGTTGAGACCACTCCATCTCCATTTATCAGCACCTGATTTCCCTCATGGGACTCACTATTCACCTTTTATTGAGTCCGTATTCTGCCTATGGTACTAGCTTTCTTCCTACTTCCCAACAGAGGTGCAACTTGCCCCGTTCAATGATCCAGTCTCTAACTCCCAGACAGCTCTTGCACATTATTCCAGCCTTGGAAATCACCCTGTCCATGCCCAGGCATGGCATGTTATTTGACAACAGGTAAAATGCTGCAGTAGGTCTACCAGCCATTCCTCTTTGGAAGATTCAAAAAATGAGTGCAAAAAGACAGCCTAGAAGCTAAATCTATTCTTTAAGAGTTCATACCATTTAATGATGAGCCACCCCCTTATACCCCTTATTTTATGTAGTTCACTTTGTTAATTTTTCCCACCTCTTCTTTTCTTTTCTTAATTCAAAGCATCACTAATATAACAATGGCTATATTCTTTGAAGAGGTGGTGGTAGGATGGATTGAGAGGGTGGAATGAGAAAGAGCCTAGTGCTGGAGTATGAGAAGTGGGTGTCTCAGGGGCTGTGAGGGAAGAATTAGACCCTTTCCTTCTAGGCACTGAGGAGCAGCTGACCACGCTGTGCGAGGAAGCTTCCTGTGGCTGGCAAGCCCAGTGGGATGTCCTAATCTGGCCCAGACTGCCAGGAACAACAGATCAAAGAATGGGAGAGGGGCTTGCTCAGATCTTGTTTTCTCTATTATAAAACTGACATGGTTGCAAAATCTAACTAAAGATCACTCATAATGGAAAGAATCATGATTATCTGGAATTTCCTCTATATTCTTGACTTATAAGAAAGGTAAATTATATC